TCGTAGCATTGAATAACTGAAAACTCGAATCACCACAGAAACAGCTACAGTGAATCCACATATGCTGAATAATATACGCTTCATAGAAATATAGAACAGATTTTATATAGCATATGTTGAAGAATATTAATTTAAAATTTTAGAAGTGCTAAATCAAATTTAGCCAGTCTTTCTTTCTATCTCTTATTCTATATTCTTTAAAACATATCTTTATCCGGTTAATAAATTTTGTATACACACAATATATATATACAGTGTAATTCCCCATAATAGTACTTACTTCATTATATATATAATACTTCATTATATATATAAGAAATTAAAATATGTCAAAATAAAATCTCTGGTAACTTCACAGTTTGCAACAAAATTAAAGTGAGTAATATATTAAAAATTCATTTACATGTGAACAGTTATATTTGAAAACGAACAGCAGTCTATTTATGAAAAAAAGTAGGATAAAAGTTGAAACTGATATATTATCACAGAATGTTTTTAAAATTTAGTATTTATAGTAGTAAATTAAGTATTAATATTCCTTATTTCTTTGAATTCCCCATAATAGTACTTACTTCATATAATTCTCCATTTCGGACCAACTTCTGCATTTACGAGTTCATTTTACATAAATTAAATTTCAAACCTTCCTTTTGAAAATTTGTGTTTTGATTAAAGTCAGATAAAAGGAATATTGGGAATAAATAACTAGCCCCTCCCCTCCCTCCCCAAAAAACATTAAAATTATATATTGTAATTCAACAAATAGGCTGTTTATTAATATGAGTTCTATATAGTAAAAATCTGATTTCATAACTGAAATTATTCCTGCTTCCATAAGTGAAGCTTTGAGAAGCGCATGGGAATAATTTATAGCACTTTAGTTTAAAAGAAAGTAGTTAAAGTGTGTTTTAAAAGAATACGGATCTTATTAAGTCACTAAATAAGAAAAATGTCCATGTAGAACTATACTTTTCCTGTATCAGAAATCATTTTCTGGAATTTTCTCAACACCAAATGTAACCACTGAAACAGTTTTTGACACAGTAGCAAATTTTCGGCTATTTTGTACCGCAAAATGTTTTCGTAGTTTATTGAAATTGTTTATGTTTTAAACTTTGGCTCGGTAGAAATTACAGACGCATCTTTTATTGCAACGTACATTTCAGTTGGCATAATTAACAATGGCTATTATATTAAAGAAGGAACCATCGAAAATCACGTGCACAAACAATGGACTTTCAGTTTGCCAGCTTCGATATTATGAAAGAGAAAATTCACTGTATCCTTACTGGGATGCAAACCATGGATCATTGCCTGCCAACTGAACGAGCAGATCATTTGCTCTGTAGAGTCATTAGGTATTTGTAGAAGCAGGAAACAAGATAATTGATATATCCCTCACCAGGATTCGAAAACCTGAACCTCTTCATTGCTAGCTGCACGTTCTTCCAGTTACATGACTAAAGCATGAGGTAAAGCAGGAGAACACACATCCTTATAACGCTCTCCCAAGTAAAAGGTAACTGCAGGGAAAGAGACCCAGTAGATAAATCATCGTATTGACTAATTATCGTCTACCACATTTTCAGTTCGGAGACCCCTTGTAGAGTGATAAATTATCTTATAAGTTGGAGAGAGAAGGAGATTTAGAAAGCAAGCCGCTTGCCACTGCAGTTCTACGAGGTTTCACTCAGTTGCTGTTTGCCTTTAAGGCCAGAGGTTTAGCCCTCTTGGTATTTGAAGACGTATTGTATTTTCACCAGCTCGGCGTACTACATACGTACCCTTTGAAATAAAGGCCAGTCTTAATGCTAGGCATTTGTATACTAATTCAAAGTTAGCTTTAAGTTAGTAGTTTTATATTCTTACATTCAGACCACAAGTGGTTGGTCTCTGTATCCCGAAGTTCGGGAGTACTTGTAAAAATATAGAAAATAAAGGATTTCGTATACCCTTCCTGCTTGTGTCGTTTATTCCACACAATCTTGAGTAAGCTCCCTGTTCCTATTCAGGACACATCGTTTTGCCAAAGCAAATCAAGAGAAACACAAGTCCTGACAATCTTACATATTTGAAGAATTCAGACGAACATTCAAGACGGTTTTATAAATAGATACCGTATATACCCTCGTATAAGTCGATACCGCGTATAAATCGCCCCCCCCCACTTCCGAAATCGATCGAGAAACTTTGAAAAAAGTTTTTTTTTAAGTACTACATTTATTCAAAATCATCTGAGAAAAAAAGTGAATATACAATAAAAAATACCTTGGTAAATAAACAAAATCAAAATCCTTCAACGTCCGATTCATGGTCAGATTCGCCAAACATTTCCTAGAACTCTTCTGTCGTCATCATACATATTTTCAGTCTCGAACCCTGTATTGTTACAATCACTACTAGAGCTTCAAAAACAGTATCATCTTCTGTGCCGTCTAGTTCGTTCCTTTTTAAAAGTTAAAAGAAATATTCAAAACTGTTCAGTTATTGCGTGGGCTATTTTTTTAAATTTTGACGTGTACGCCTGTTAACAAAAGTATTTCATGAATGAACAATAACTATTATAAAGACTTATACGTACGTAAAAACTATCTGCATTTCTCTTTTCTTGGCGTATTGGCGAAACTTTTTTATTGCTCGATATTGATCGGTTGTTCGGGGGACGAAAATTATTTGGTTTAATCGAAACTTACTCTAGTTAAAGTATGAAACTTTGTGATTAGTTCGTCACATAATTTAAGTCATGAAATTACTTAAAGTAAGTGACTTATTTGATAAGTCGTCCAATTTGAGTGCGGGAAGAAAACAACTGCATTATATAAAGAAATTTTTGAACTTCCGATTCTTTTAATTTTTATGGCCCCACGTATAAATCGACCCCCCACTTTGAAGTCTTTTTTTATTGTCCAAAATATCTCGACTTATACGCCGTTATATACGGTAAATTCATAGATAAGTTCATATATAAATTTTGTGCCGTATATGGAAATCCCTTGTGTGTTTACAAAATATCCTTTTAATTCTAAAAATTAAAGAGTGGAAATTGCTATTTAAAAAATAAAAAGAGAAAAAACTATTTTCCAGTCTTAATAGTTTAATGTTATTTTTAGCCTACTGTTTTGTTTAAGAGAGATTTTCGCTAAATGTAAGTCCCGGTGTTTAAGGTATTTATATTAGATGTCTTCCCTCTTTTGTCTTTAATCAGAGACAGAGACCTGACGAAAATATCTTGGTACATGAAACCCGGTGTTTTCCCGTGAACAGCTGAACGGATTCAATGTAAATGCTGGCACAAAGCATAGAAAATCCTTGCTGATTTAGTTAAGTTGAAGCTTAGTCTTTTATCGAAGCGTTGGTAATACATCTTAGAAATACATCTTGGTAATACATCTTAGAATACATCTTAGAAATATCCGAAAGTTTCGAGTGCAGTATACCAAGTATAGCTTCAAGCATAAATTCAGCTTCAATTTCCATTCTGTTTTTCCTACATGAGTAGAAAATCCTGTACTAAACCCTCTCTATCAGTTTTACACCAAGCTGTACCATTTTTAAGTGAAGCTCTGTGATTTTCACTGCGTTAAAAGTATTAGCAGTGTTTCGGTAAAAATGAGTTGATCTTCAATGAAAGTTCATATAGCTAGAAGCTTTTAATTTTCTTTCTTGAGGCTTTTCACTTGCTCAGAGAGAAGTAGCTAACGATTCTTGTTTGGGGAAGAACACTGTAACAAATATCTTGTTTTATTCAGCCAATTTTTTACATGAGTACGAATAAGGTGATCTAAGGCCATACTTGTTTATAAGTCTTAAGACATTCTAACATTAAAATATGAAGCTGACAGAGTAAAAGAATAGTCAGCAATGCTGGAAAAATGAAGAACATTTCATATAATAAATGTCCGAATAAAATTGATAAAATTTAAGAAATTCTATATATCAATTAAGTTTACATGCTCACAATACATCTTTCGGTTTCAATATCTTGCTTCTGAAGAATTGAAGAATTGTGAGTAGCAAGGAAGATGAATGTTTCTTAAATATTAAAAATAAATTTATTTTACTTTCAGTTTAGCTTCTGAAAACTTGAAATTTACTTTAAATATTTAAAACGTAAACGTATAAATTATATTTAGCTTGGAAAAGCTTTCTTTGCAATTTTTTACATAACATAATGTTGAATAAATCTTAATTATTGCAATCGTATTAACTACTACGCATAGAATAAATTCATTTTTCCGAATCTGACATAAACTTAAATCTACAGAAAAAGAAATTGCATTATGTATAAATAATTTTATTATATATAATTTTCAAATCAAAGGAAAAAGGAAACCCAAGTAAAGTAGCTCAATCTTATCATGGTAAATTTGGAAGTTACCCGTTTCGTTTCAATCTAAAATAAAATAATTATGTGAATGTTAAAAAAAGGTACCTCAAGATGTGGAACATTCGATTTTTTCATGTTCTACCTTTGATCGCCTTAGATTATGCTTGCGGAAGTATTTGAAAATGCTCGACATGACTTAGCCAGTGAACTTATCTGTTTTCGTGAAGTCCATATTGCTGTTCTCTGATTTTGATCGTTTCATTTATACATGTAATAATTAATGTTTTACATCTGTGGTGGACGGGGATAGATTACATGATTTCTCCCCCTCAAAAAACACATTGATGCATATTGCTTAAGCAGGAAGAACCCCAACTCTGACCCTTATAAATACAACTGCTATTCTACTTAACAGCAGTTCCATGTATTCAGTCCATAATGACATGTATAACTGACATGTTTTTATAACAAATGATAATAAACTAGAACCAAACATATCGATGCAATAAATAAACTTCTATCAAATATGATCAAATACTAATAACATAAATTAAAATCCTTTTCAATACTTCTGAAGTCATCCGATATTTTAAACGTTCAAGGACAGAATACCTGTAATAAGATGTTAGTGTGTTTAACATATATAAATAAACAAAGATGAGAACATAAATACTTTGAAGCTCCAGCTACGTTTTAGTGCGACTACGCAGTTCCTGCAGTTTCCTTTTATATTTTCAGTATCTTTCGGCAATTCGCAAATACTTTCCCCATCGGGACTAACGTAGACAGCTGAAAGAACACAAAGAATAAATATGAGTTGCAATAAAACAAAAAGCAATATATTTCTTACGTGTCAGAATAAATTGCATATTTTCTTACAAGAGTCCTTATCTCTTGCGATTTTTTGTTTGTTTACTACAGTTAGATGTTGTTCAGTTTTCCGCTCCACTAAACTTTTTCGAATGCTACAACTCATGTTAGTACATCTATAATTATAATTTTCTGATAAACTGCTTCACAGAGCTTTCTGATGAAAGCTCGTAGTAGTCGGAAAAATAAATCCATTGAGATATTTCAAGCAGAAGTGGCACGAATCTGAATTCGAATCCCAAAAGTTCTCGCATTCCTTAAGCCAGGAATCTTTCATATAAAAATATGATAAAAAAACGAAAAAACGTAAAACTTTTTAGTTAAATCAAGATTTGAAATCTACATTTAGTGGTAACCAAAATTAAAAAATACTGTTTTTAAAACATATCTATTATACTTATTAAGAAGATATAAATATAATTTAGTAAATGCAGCACGCAATTAAAACTTTTAAATTTTAAGGTTATATTTTCTCAATATAATTTTTTAAAAAAATTAAAAAGAAAGAAAAGAATGCAAAAGGGAATGAAATAAGTAACTCGAATACTGTGAATTTTTTTTCAGAATCTATTTGAATAAAAGCAAGCGTAAAACATTCTTTAAGTAATAAGGTAAACATTCAACATGAAAATGTCTTCAGAAAATTAGAAATCATCAATAAACTTTTTTACTTTAGAGTTCTAAAAGCACACTCATTGTGTGACATTAGAGGTCACCGCAAGGTGACATTCACAAAAATGATGACACAATTTTTTTTTTTTTTAAAATTTTCATGTAAAAGAAGGAAAACATTGAAATAAAATAATAAAGAATATTTTGAAAACATATTTTCTTAGTTCCAGCTTTGTACTAAATAAATATGGAAAAAAATGTATAGTAAATTAAAAAATTACGTTTTAGACTAAAATAAAAGAATAAAGATGTTCAAAATGAATCGGACATTTTTATAATCTCTAATTAAAATCGTCTGAAATAAATAAAAAACGAACTTCGTTTGAATAAGGAAGCTAAGCAACAATCTAAAAATCCTTTGTTCTTATAATTCGAATTTTCTTTTTTTAAAGAATATTCGTTATTTAAATTTTTTCTTATAATGCCCTACCACGAAAGGAAACATCGTTAAAACCCGCAGATTAGTTATTGATTTGCATCAAAAGAGAGAAAAAAAAATTCTGTTAAAGAAACTTCCAATTTACTTAATTTAAGTAATTCTATAGTTTTTGATATTATTAAGCGTTGTTAGAAACATAATCGTATTCAGAACAAAAGAAGACATAGAAAACCATCTAAATTATCTTATGGAATGAAATTCCTTAGAAAAATCTAAGGAACACTAAAAACGAATCCAAGACTGTGTGCACCTAAGCTTTTTGCGGAATGGCAGGAATTACGTGAATATGTATAAATCCCGAAACTACAAGAAGAGTAATGCAGGATATCATGGACGAGTGGCAAGATAAAATGTTTTGCCAGTTAAAAAAAAACAAAAGAAAAAAAAAAAACGAAAATTTATAATTTTATTCTTAAAATCGATGAAACAAAAAATACTCTACTATAAAAATGTGTTATTTCTTGATAAAAGCAAATTTAACATCTTCGGCTCAGATGGACGGTGTGGAGAAAACTCAAAAAATAATTTCTGAAAGGAAACTTATTACCAAGTTGCTAAACACGTCGTAGGAAAACCCTCCTACGGTGATCTATGGCATATTCCGGTGTTGGTAATATAGAGTTTATAGATGGTGTTACGGATCCCCACAGTATAAATACTGTGACATCGTGAAGCGAAATTTGTCGTCATCAACACAAAATCATAATATACAAATTAAACTTAACTTAAACGTGTCTAGTCAATTAAACTTAAACGTGTCTAGTCATTTTTATGGGTCACTGTAAATGTCACAGAAATTGCGCCAAGCGTGGTCTGTTTTAAATGTCTGCTTATAATGCACCTCAGTGAAATCAGTCCTTAAAGCTTTGAGTTAAAACGTTTAACGCTTTTTAAATTAGGACTCGAAAGATATGAATTAGGACAGTAACGCGAAGGTTAAAGTTTTCGAATCAAGTTACTTCCGAGATTCGTGGGGTACGAAGAATCTCCTTTTCCTAATTTCAAGCAAAGTTGCTGATTTATTATAAATTTAAGAAAGTAATTTAATTTTAGAATATCTACTGCACCAATTAAAGGCTGATTACCCTATTTCCGTCTACATCAGATATTCATAATTCTATAGTAATAAAAGAAAAAAATAAATCATTTAGGCACCACTGCACGTCTATATTTTAAAAATATTAAAAGTTTCTACTTAATAAAATGTCGATACTGAATGCATTTTAACACTCTTTGCTTTCAGTTTTGAAGAGGAAAAAAATAAACATCCAGAAAATATCATTTACATTTCTGTCGTAAAAATTATCAAATTAAGTATAAATCTGTCTGTATTTCACTTCCCTTCAATAGTCACTTCACTTTATTTACGCCTTTCGGCAGAAAGGAATAAAATAATTTGATATTCCATTCGGCTATGGCATTCGAACAAAAAAACTTGAACATCTTTTCAACTACTGAAGGTTCAGCTTTGAATTTTTCCCCCTATACATTTAAAAAGACTGCAGCTATTTTAAGTCAAAACATTATGATAGCAAAAGATATTTTTACGCTTAGTGAATCTGTTTAAACCATAGAATATAAAAAGCTTTTTCCGAATTATTTTTTTTATGATTCTGAATGAGGTAAAGCAACATATTTTTTTTTTATTTTATATTTACATATGACATGAAATTATGTCCCTAATTCTCGCATTACTTCATCGTATCCCAAAGGAGCAGCATCATTAGCTATTCATGCCGTATTTTTTCCTGATTGTTAATACAGTAGAGTCCCGCAAACTCGACTCCCGACATCTCGACATTCCGTATAACTGTACAACGTTTTAGGGACAACTAAGATAGCATTAGGCCAGGTTTCTTAAACTGTGGGTCGCGACTTCCAAGGAGGAAGCGGGACCTGCAGCAGGGGGTCGTCAAAAATTTTAGCAGTTTTGATATTTCTTTAACTTATTATAATAATTTTACAATTACCAAATATTTTCACACAATGTATCTGAAAACCGATAAAGATAAGAAAATAAAGAAAGACAAAGAGAAAGCGAAAACGTTTCGATGCATTTTTTATAATAAAAACGTTCATTTTACTTGCTTTGCATATGACGCTGTCATTCCGTCTGATACTTATTTAAAATTTACACATTGTTCTATGTCTTAAATTTAGGACCTAAAACTGCAATATATATTACAGCACGAGGGAAAAAATTGACAGTTTCACTCACACTTGTGTCGGACTTGCGCAATATTTATGGGACTCTCAAAAATATTTTATAAATATTTTGGGGTCCTGGGGGTCGCTAAAAAATCTCAGCGATAAAAAGGGTCGCGAATGAAAAAAGTTTAAGATACCCTGCTGTAGGCCAGAAAGAGTAAATATTAAATACACTACATATTGTTACGAAATGCCTTAGCCGAGGTAAGATAGCTTCCCTGCAAAGCGGGTTTTAGAGTTGCAAGAGAATAACAAAGGAAGGTAGGGTTGCAATATTTGGCGTGAAATCGCCCTTTTGGTGACATATGGCGACAAAATTGGCGATATGCCGTAGACGGATGGAGAATTTTCTAGAAAGAATTTTTCCGGTTTGGACCAGAAAGTTCTCGAAGGCAAGCTGAAAGCTATATAGCCGTGCCTGCACACGGAGCAGCAGTGAGTCTCATTGTTTGTCAGTCAATCAGTCAATGAGTGAGAGTCTAGTCTAGTCAGTCAGTTTAAGTATCGAGTTTGTTGTCGAGATTCTAGCGAGTACATCGTGAATTCTATCGAGTGTATCGTAGAGTGCATCACGAGTTATAGCGTAGAGAGTTCTGAGAGTATGTACAAAAATTCTCATGACCATGTTCCGTGCACCACCTAACGCAGCACTTCATGTTTGTAAATGTGGCCTGATGTTCACAATACTAAAGACTTCAGAGATTAGATGTCTGATTACTTTAACTTCATATCGAATGCGGTTTCCAGTTCTTATATGAGCGTAGCTGATTAGCATAAGCGTTTTTCTAAAGCGCCCGATAGCAATGAAACGGTCAGTCTCCAGTGAAAGATCTTGGAACTAAATAAGTTTCTCGAAATAATCCCTTCATTAAAAAGTTATCAGTTTGATAAAATTTATTTTCATTTCATTGTCATTCAGTTGGTGTCCTGATAACTTTAAAACGCTTCGACTTTCCCAATGTAGCAAGTTCATTTAACATAGAATTCATATATACATTTCCATAATTTGCTGAATATCAACATTTTCTTGCATCTAATAGCGAGAAATTCCTCTAAAGTTTACATTAGATTTGCTAGAATTTAAAATTAGGCTGAATTAAAGTAGAGAGAGATCAGTGTGGCTGTCTTAGACTTTTAAATCGAGAAACTAATTTAAAATCCATAATTTTGAAAACATTTATTATATATTTAGCTACCAAACTCTTTTCACAAAAGCAGCTACGTATAATAAAGTATAACAACTTAAAATAGTATAATATTTTAAAATTTGTATGATTTAATGTAAAAGAAATTTTAAAATATATAGAATTTAATAAACGGAGTACTATTTACTTAAAAACCAGCCCTTTAAAATATTTTACATATGTTTTAAATAATTTCAGCAATATTTAGAGATGACTGTTTTCCAAATACAAAGAATTTTAATTATAAAAATTAGGATGAATTATTTTGGAAAAAGCCGTATTCCAACTTTACTTTTGCGATGCAAATTCAAGATATTAGAAAACATTTGTGTTAAAGTTTTCAAAAAACATTTTTATTAGAAAATGAGAAATATAGGGAAAATTATAAAGAAAAGTAAAGAAATCCCTGGAAGGAATATTCACTCACATTCATTTCATTTACATAAAAACAAAGAATGCCATTAAAGAATAATCATAATTTTATTTTAATATACACAGAAAATGAGATAAATCTGAAATGAAATTAAAAAATTAATATAAAATTTTTCCTATATATATATATTATATATAAATATGTCTTTAGTTTTCATTTTCAAACTTTGCATTTTATGGGACAACATTTGTTTCTATGGCAGGCATATTTCATTTATTTAACTTTTCTAATATTTCCAAAATGAATTGTTTTATATTAATTTCTGCATGTTACATTGAAATAAACTATTGAAAATACAAGTTTAAATTTCTATAAATGAATAAAAAAGAAGCTTACTGTTATTTGGTGGAACAACGTCTGGGCATGCAATAGCTGTTTCCGCTAAGTCTTCTACGGTTTTCTTGAAAATAACGTCCATTCTGCAAATCAAAATTCAGATAACAAATTACAAATTTCATAAATTTTGCACTCAAAGTGATAAGGTAGAGTTCTAAACATACACTTACTTGGATTTGTTTTCCTCAATAGATGCTGCACAAAAATATATATTTACATAGTTAAGTGTAATATTCAAAATTTACAGCAAAAGACTTGAAATGTGTAAAAATTAGTAAATAGGAAATAAAATATGAAATCAATAAAAAGTAATGTTGCTACTGAAGACTTATAAAATACTTTAAAAGCTGCATGCATTTCTTGGTAATTAAAATTTATCATTATTTTTATAACTATTATTATTATTATTATTATTATTATAGTTCTCTTGGACAAGGAAATTATTACTAAAATGTATATTTGCTATTGTAATTGACACAGAAGTACTTCTAAAACAATATTATTGTTCAAAATTTAATCAGTTGTTAATTTCATTTAATAATTATAAGCTATATTTATATTAAGGTTACAGTAAATAATTCTACTTCAAATCCATTAAAGTCATATTTTAATACATTTCAGTAACCCTTCTGAAGAAACAGTTTTAATAGAAAAATGTTTTGTAAAGAATAATTTTTCTCGCATCTTTAATCAAATAATTTATTCTTTAATCGAATTTTCTTGGAATAAATAATTTATTTCATAATATTCTTCATGTTTCATCCCGTAAAAGAAACCTAATTACATAAACATAATTAATGGAAATAATATTGCAGTAAAAATCTATTCCTCTAAATTTATCAACCAAATCGTAACCATGAATGTCTTTTGAACGGAAGCACAGTGAACTCCACATTTTAATCAGCAGCTGTATTGTAAAGCCATTAGGAAGTACCTCACTGATCACCATAACATGTCCCACTTGTATTTGGATCCTATTTCCTTCATGTTAGAATTGGTTAAATATCCATTTATTCGCCGTATTCAAGCGAAATAAATGTAAGGGGTGGTCCTACAAATGGCTCTCTCGTATCGAACTAAATGAAATACAGCTTGTTTTACGCTTTTGATAACTGAACTTTCGTAAATGTGATCGTATGTAGTAATGACTTCTTCAGAACTCGATAAATATTTTAAGTCTATTTGTTAATAATGTGCTAAAATGTACAGTACATTATTGTTATTAACTTAAATATGGAAAGGAAAAATTGGTTTTTAAAGCATTTATATTTGAAACATACAATTCGAGTCATCTTTCGTACTGACGATACCATTCTGGAGTACACAAATAAAATGTTCTTTTAACATTTTATTAGTATAAAAACTAACGATAATTGATTTTTATGCATAGAAATAAATTCAAGAATTACATCCATCGGTTATCAGTCTGTGTTACGACAGTAGAAGGATTTATAAAAACTTCTATTTAACTTTAGTTCTATTTACTGTAATTTGGAATATATGATTGTGTGTTTAAATTAAAAAAGAACTAATATATCATGATATCATATACTGATGAATGATTACTTTGAGTATAAAAAAAAACAAATGTTCAAAACCGGCGAAAATATATAACAAATAACTTGCACTACTGCGTAAAACATGGTATGGAAAATTATGCTTATTTGTTTAAAATCCTTATAATTATTAAATAAGTACGCATATTGTTAATTGTGATTTTCTCATGGAACTATTAAAAAGGCAACCTAATCTCATTATTTATTTTAATTCGATCAAATTTATTGAAGTGAAAATATTGTCATCGTGTAATCCAATGAAGTGACAAACGCTTTGTAGAAAGAACGTTATTTTCAGAATAACGTAAAAATCAAAACGGGTTTTGATTATTCAGAATAGTTTTTTGAAGAATGTTGAAGATACAGAGTTGTCGCCAGTTTTGAAACAAGCAGACCATTACGGAGATTGTGAGATGGCTGAATGTTTGGAAACACGTAATACGTACTCACCGAACACGGTGGAAATCTAAGAAGCCAGGAAATTAGGTCAGAAGTAAAACAGCATCATCTGATGACACATTTCTGTCTATAAATGTCTGCCGTGATAGGAACATGAATCCTAACTGGCTAACTTAACAGTTATTATCTCCCCATCAAAACATTTATATCACATCAATCTGTTCACAGAAGGCTGAATGAGAAAGTCTTTTATGCTATAATGCCAGTCTTTGTGTTTACCGAATACGTAGTCTCCGCTTAACAGGTGCAGAGAATATTGCAGCTAGACTAAAGTGACCACACGTCCCGATTTTGGCGGGACAGTCCCGCTTTTTGGAGGACTGTCCCGCGTCCCGCCGCTTTTTAAAAATGTTCCGCTTTTTAGAAAACCTCTGCATTTCTTATTTTAAACGTACTGTAAAAATATATTACCTATTATTTATTAATTATTATAGTAAATATAAAGAAATAAAAAGTACATAAAGAAGGAAACGCATACAATGCATGCAGTGTAAACTAAATCAGATGATGTAACGAGTTAGATTAACTCGGTGGTGTTCAATCATTGTCGTTACGTCTCGCCAAAGAATATGTATTGTTAACAGAGGAACAGCTAGCATTAGCTGAAGGGCTATTTTCTTTCCACACCAGAAACCACAATCAAAGTTTCAGATCAATTGATTGTATCTCGCAAATGATCCAAACATTGCATGACAAAAAAATTTGCATGTACAAGACAAAAACCGAAGCAATTATTTATAATGTTTTTTCGACATATTCGTTTTCACAATTCCAGAAAAAGTTAGATAAATGTAGATTTATATCCATATATTATGATGATTCCAACCACAAAGATTTAAAATTATTTCTCACAATTGTTAGACATTTTGATCCAGAAACAGGAAATAAAATTAGAATATTAGCCGGTGTCGGGTGAAACTTCACAAATAATTTTTGATTCATAAGCTCTATTTTAAAAAAGAATAATTTGAGGAATAAAATTATTGCCTATCGTGAGGATAACACTAACGCAAATTTTGGTGGAAAAGCTAGAACAGGCAACAATATCGTTTTTACAAAATTTAATGAACATTTGAATTAAAATATTACTGGAGTAGGTTTTGCAGCGCACATTCTACACAGTACTATACAAACAGCAACTGATTTACTTCCAGTGGATCTTGAAAATATTATTGCAAAAAATTATTCTTATTCTTATACTGTGCGTTTTGAAAATTTGAAGGATTGTGTGAAAGCTCCGAAATCGAATATAAAAGAATTATTGGTTACAGCAAAAGACGATGGCTAGCTCTTTTACCAGCTGCAGAAAATATTTTAAAAATATACGTACCATTATAATCATACTTTTAATCACAAGATAAATGTACAAGAATATTGCAGCTCTTTTTAGAAAATGACGCATCACAAATTTGGCTTCAGTTCATCCACAAACAAGTTACATTATTTCCTAATGCTGCGAAAATTATTGAAGGGAACAAAATTTCAATTACGGAAGTGTCAAATGAGATCAATAATTTAAAAACAAAATTGCGAGAATTTATAACGATTACGTTCCTTTAGTTATTCGAAAGGATATCACTAGGTTGGAAGAACAAGGGGCCATTAAACGACCTGATTTTCTGAAGGAAGTCAGAAAGTTTTATAATAACTGCTTCGAATATCCTGAAGAACTCGAGGATATTAAAAAATTTTCATTGGGGGACTTTAAAAAAGGAGATTTTATGGGTATATGTGGGAAAATCTTTTCAATATATTAATAACTATTTTCCGAAAAATGATCTTTTTGATGAGGTGTCATTGGTAAAAAGATACGATACTGAAGAAAAAAAGTAATGTTGGTTGTCTACAAATATGGACACAGAAAAAAATGCACGGAGTTATTCCTTCATTTTAAACAGAATAATATTCCTTATGAAAATATTTTGAAAACTGTAAAACACGCGCTCTCCCTTCCAGGAACAAATGCAGCAGCAGAACGTGTTTTTCTAGTATCAATAAAATATAGACAATTGAAAAAACGCAGTTGAACATTGAAACTTTAAAATTTGCATTAAGTATAAAATATAATTTGACCAATTCATGTGAGAAATTTCAAGACATTTTAATAAATGTTCCAAATCTATTGCAAAGTATTCACTCGGATAAAAAATGTGTGGGCGACCGTGAAAGAAAATCATGAATTTTTAAATAAAATGTTTAATTAATGAAAAGCATAATATTCAAATTATAGTTTTTTACAATTATTTTTAGAGTTACCAATAGTTAATAATAAATATATTTTTGCATATTTATAGATAAGTAAATTAATGTATAGAATAAAATATATTATTTTGAATTATTGGTCTGCTTTCATAACTAAATTACAATTCTCATTTCATTCCATTTGTCCCGCTTTGTCTCAATGAAAATGTAGTCACTTTAAGCTAGACAGAATGTATTGAAATTGGTCTATGTCTTCTTAAACGATGAATTCAAAATTTAATTTAATACCTGACTCGGAGAATTCAAGGAAATCGAAATATTAAAATCAATTTTGTGGAAACCGTCTGATAAAATGGCGCATCACATCGATGTGATGATTAAGGAGAGGAATAATAATCAGAAAACGTATTCACCAGCACGTATTCCAGAAAAGATAAAATACTTGCCGAGAGATATCAAGACAGAGTCTAATAATTTCATTTCAGAGGCCCCCCACATGTGGTAAGTCACTTTCTCTTCATAGATGATAATGCCATTTCATTTCCTGTTTAACAAACTTGCCAAACAGATGTTCAAATTTTAATCCCATAGAGAACTTATGGAGTACCACTGGAGAAGCTGCTGCATGTGGAAACTTTCTCCTGAAGAGCTTACTGATTTCAAGGCCATACTATTGCAGAAAGGGAGCTTATTAGCCGTCAGAGTATAGTTACATATGTTACTGAGAACATGAAAACGCATTGTGAAATGTGTGGGCGAATTAGGGAAAATCACATTCTCTATTATTATCAAAAGTGTGATTTTGTTTCCGAGTTTTTCGTGTTTTCTAAAACATCACTTTGATTTATTTGAAACAGTTTTATACCAGATGCGTTTATGTATACTTTCTCAGTTTTCAGTTGAGTGTTATGATACTATGAACTATCTCATTAAACCTATTAAACTTCACTAAACTATTCCAGAGGGATCCGTGCTTTT